GGGGGCAGTGGGATCTACAGGGTTATAGGAGGTTTCTTCAAAGAGAGCAGTCCTGGGATCCTCTTCGCAGGGTTCTTCAGATGGCTGCTCAGGCCCTTGTTACTGCCAGAGGTGCTGCTCAAGCTGTCTGTGTGTTTAGTGCAGCCACTGTCTTTTAACTGCTGTCCAGAAGTGCTCCTGTGGAGAGAGAAGGTGGCTGAGGCCTCCAGCTGCCGCTGGCACACAGAGACCCTCCTGCACAGCAGGGCCCAGAGCGGCCAAGGCTCCCCAGCACGGCTGCAGCTGCTGGCACAGCTTGGCCCAGCTGGAGAGCTGCCCCTCAAGGCCCCAGCGAGCAGGGGATGGCTCTGGGCAGGGTCCCTGGCCAGGAGCAGGCCCCAGAGTGTGTCTGCCTTTCAAGGGCAATCTCGTTCCTGCTCTTTGTCCTGCCCACCTTGCTTTGCCTCTGCCTGCTGCTCCTGGGGCTGCTCTTGGCCAGGCAGCCTCAGTGGCAGCCAGCACTGGCTGCAGCCCAAGTGGGCTCCCCAGGACAAGGCCCAGCAACATGGGTGTGCATGGCCTGTAGGTGCTTTGTGAGGGAGTGGAGATTTTTATGGTGTAAGTTTTAGAAACATTTTAAGCTCCTGATCAAAATTCGAGATATATATATATATAAAAAAAAGGGGGCAATTATTGTGAGGTGCCCCAAGAAGGCAAAGATTTGGTTTCAGATAAGTACTGTTAGAGGGGAGGCAGGGCTGAAATGCTCAGCTAGTGTGAATTTTGACCTCCTGCTTTGGGGGATGGGCTGTGTGAGGCCTGGATGAAGTTGCCCCATTCCAGACTCTTTGTGAAGGGCGGCCCAGAGGAGTTGGGTTTGAGCCCCTGGGGTTTCTCCCTTGTTATGTTTCTAGTGGTCCTTGACTCTGAACTCCACCCTAGTTCTGTCCCTCAAAACCCCTCACCCTGCCTTTGTTCGGGGCTGTAATAGATTGCTATTGTTTGTTAATCAAATTTAATATAATAAGATTGTTTAATGCAATATGATTGCTGAAACTCTTTGCTTAATACAATGTGAGAGCTGAAACTGTGAAAGGCCAAACCACAATATCCAGCTGTATAAACAAGAGCTGAATCTGCAGAAAGGCCAAACCACAATATCCAGTTGTACAAACAATAACAAGAACATCTCCTCATTAGAAGTCATATAACTGGTATAGAACCAATGCCTGCGCGCTCACATCAAGAATGAGGCAGATTACAACCACCTAGCAACTAGCGACACAAGCACAGATGCAACCCAGGAAAAGTAATGAAGACACGTATACAGGAAATATGAACTGTATATAAGGGGAAACTTTATCAGCCAAGGCACCGCTGCTGGTGGAGTGGAGACTCCCCGGCCCGCTTGCTGAATTAATTAAATTGATTTTCATGAATGATCATTTAAATTGGCTCTCTGATTTAGTCACGACAATTTATAACAGGGGCTCTCTGTCCCTGAATCTGAGTTTGTTCCCATGCTGAATAAATGGTTTCATGAACAGAAGCCCGTCTCGTTCCTGTCCCATGCTGGTTCCTAGTAATTGTAGCTTCTCTGGACATGATGCTGTGGTTGCAGACTGCAGCAATGGGTCTACCCATGTTCAGCTGTCTTGATGGCTGTTTCTGTGGTCAGCAACACTTGTTGCACAGGTCTATGCTACTTTGCTTCTAGTGGTGCTTCTTTCTACTCCTTAACTAGGACCCGGTCTCCTGCCTGGATGTTGTGAACAGCAAAGTCCAAAGGCAAGGTCTGTGCCAGCTGAGTTTCCTGTTGAAGAGATTTCACAAGAGTCAGTATCTGGGCCACAAATTGTTTTAAATATACATCACTTATCTTTAGCCCTGCCCCAGGCGGAGAATTACAAGGATAAGGAATTCCAAACATCAATTCAAAGGGAGATAGTTGAACATCCCCCCTGGGTCTGGCCCTTATTCTTACTAAAGCCAGTGGCAAGAGCCATACCTACAGCATCTTAGTTTCTATCACCAGCTTCAGAAGGTGCTTCTTTATTTCTCCATTTATCCTTTCAATCTGGCCCGAACTCTGGGGGTGCCAGGGGGTTCCATTGTATCCCTAAAGCAGTCATTACTCCTTTAAGAATTTTTCCTGTAAAATGAGTTCCCCTATCTGAGTCTGTTGCCTCCACAATCCCATAGCTTGGAATTATTTGTTCCAAAAATACTTTAATAACTGACCCTGTAGTTGCTGAAACGTCTGGAAACGCTTCTGGCCACTCTTTTAACTGACATACTATTACCAGAAGATATTTAAATATTGCCACTTTAGGCATTTCAGTAAAATCTACCTGGCATCTCTGAAAGGGATGTACAGGCCAAGGCCTCCCTCCCCTGGCAAGTTTCTTTGTAACTGTTACTTGTTTTAGCACAAATTAAACAATCTTTAATAGCTTGCTTTGCTAGGGTAAAAAGACTTACAGCAGCACACATTTTGAGGAAGGCTTTTGCCAGTCTTTGGGAGCCTTAATGCCTTTCATGAAGTTAATAACTGTAAGGCCGAAGCTTTTGGCATCTAATGTTTACCATTCCTTACAAACTAATTATTTTCACTTATTCTTTGCCTTACTCTTTTTAATTATCTCAAGTTTCACTGGCGGAAAAGACTGGTTTTTTGGTAGCAGTGCAGTTACTGGGAGCAAGGAGAGGATCTTCAAGACTTCTGGCAACAATGCAGCTTTCTGAACTTCTTTATCATCCTGTCAGTTTCCTATTGCTTCCTCTGAGCACTGTGCCTGCTGCTCCTTGATGTGTATTATCACCACCCATTCTGGTAAGTTCACTACTTCCAATAGGTGGGAGACAAAATTCTCAAGAGCCAACATCTTTCCCCTGCAAGCTAATATGCAGGCTAATAAATTTTTTTTATTTTTTATTTTTTTTTAGTTTTTCAAATGATTGTATTACTTCATATGCATATTTAGAATCAATAGAAACGTTTACTCTCTTGTCTGCTGTCTGAGCTGACCAGGTGGGCGGTAACCTCTGCCTTTTTTTTAATTGCTATCTATTGATGATAGAGTATCTTGTAAATACTCATTTATAAAAACATTTTCTCCCTCAGGCCAGGGACTATCTCATAAATCTTCTCTCATTTGCATCTGGAGATTTACTACCTGAATGCAGTCATGGGTTTCTTCCTGTCCCCCCTCTTCAGGGCTGTTCAAACAGGAGGCTGGGTTAAACTTTTTCCTAATTTAAATTTCTAAATCCTC